CAGCAGACTCTGAGCATAAGAGAAACCATTTAAGGATCATGGGGCGCACACACACACACACACACACACACACACACACACACACACACACACACACACACACACACACACACACACACACACACACACACACACACACACTTGCTACCAAAACTCAAGTCAACATGGTTCAAACAATGAGAATGTCTCTTTACATTCCACTTTGAGATTTTAAATGCTACAATCCACCAAAAGATTTGATTTATAGGCAGGTTTATAACGTTTTATTAAATTTAATTACCTTCATACATTTTTAATTAATCAAATTATTCAAATAGTCATTTGTAGGAATTGATTTTCTCTTTTTCTAAGTCTGAACATGTCTGAGTGCTACTTTGATGGCTAAAAAGAGAAATGTGACAGATTAAACTGAACCAACAGTTGTGACTGATGTTAGAAACACAGCAGCTAAATTGATTTTGTGGGAATTTTTCCCACTTATGAGGGATTGTCATTGCCATCTAATGAAGTAAACATCGATTTTGTTTCAATCTTTTTATCAGAGTGAGAAATGCTGCTGGTGTGTATTCAGAAAAACAAAGATTGGATTTTGGTGGCAGGATTCCCAAGAAGAAGGAGCAGAGGGATATTTTCTATCAAAGGGAGTAAAACAGTTCAGGTTTGATCTCTACCGACAAAAAAGGAATAAAAAAAATAAATTAAAACAATGTCGGTGATTACAGTTTGTGGATGGATGACATTTTTACGTTTCAGAAAAAATTCATCTAAAAATGTTTTCCAAATTGCCAATTTTAGGAATGTGAAAAGAATAATTAAATACTTCTGCTGCTTTAGTTTTAATTTATTTCCATTTGAAGCAATAATTGGAAATGACGCCAAAAAGAAAACTTATAACACTGTCATGTTCTGTGTCCCTCTGTCCACAGCCTCCTCCTGTTCTCCAGGTTCTCCTGCTTAGTTCTTTCCCCATTTAGTTTATTGAATGCACCTGCCTTCCCTCCAGATAACACACACCTGTCACCTGTTCCTCTGATCACCTCCCTCTGTGTTTAAAAGCCCTGTCTTGTCCCTCAGTGTTTGTCTGTCCATTGTTGTGAGTCAGCGTTGTTTTGATCCCTCGTCAGGTTCTAGTCTTTTGTGCTCATTGAGCTTATATTTTTAATTTATTTATTTATTGGCTTTCAGTTTTCTGGATTTGATTCCTGCATCTAAGTTATTTTTGTTGCCACCTTCATAAAAGGATTTTACCTTTTTTCAACTGCTCTTGCCTCGAGTCATTCTGGGCTTCTGTGTTTTGGGTCCTACCTCCTCCTGCTCAGCGTGACAAACACAGAAAATACTGGTTATACCAGTCATGAAAGATGATACCAGAAAATGTGTCGTCCAATAACTCCAGGTGAAACTTTTGTATTTTTCTTCTCATATGAAATTCAGAAAACAGCTAAATTGGGAGTTAATTCCACAATAAATCCAACAGTAATTAAGGAGCAAAAGAGGAACTGACGGCTTTATGTAGTTTATACATTAAACAAAGACTTTTTGAATTGTAGCTGCCCCTGGCACCATGAAGAAAAGAACGGAGAGCCTGGACGGGTGCATAAACTTTTATTTGTTTCTCTGGTCCAGTGCCTTGGACTTCACTCCATGAGTTGCACCGTGAAAACTGTTTAGAGATATACAAAGCATAAATAAAAGGTGAACACAACTTCGATGTCCTAACAGAAATGGATTATATTCTCACATTTACCTTGCTCTGCTGGCTAAGGGTGCTAAACAAAACAATAATTCCTCAAAGCTGCTTTATCGGTAGATTTGACTTGGTGATGGACAAGAAAAACAAACAATGACTATAGAGTGTCAAACTAATAACCCAAACAAAGCGTCAATACAGCAAAACTTACGTGGGGATGCAGTCGGCAATGTGCAGCTGAGGTGAATTTAGGCTAAAGACATAATTTCAATACTGTAGTGTTATCTTCTCTACAAACAAATTAACCCAAGCAGTTTTCTCTGGAAGGGTGTGGCTTATATAAATTCTGTGAGCCAATTAATGGTCATTGCCATCAGCTGCTCAGCTGGCAGCTACATGAATATTACAAAATTGATGTTAGAGTTTTGGGTACTCTTCAGATATTTTTTCTGATATTTTATATTTCAAAGGTGTTGAACATTCATTTAATCAATACATTTGCAGTGGTCTCTAGTAGGAATGAAGACCTTGTAAGTCGTACTCTGGGGGGAAAAAGCCCAGAAGTTCCTGTATCAGCATGGAGGAGTCAGGTTTTGGATTGAAAAATAGAGACACAGCTCTACCTGACCGCATTTTCTCTGCAACGTTTATGCTTCATCTCCATAACACAAGCCTGGAGGAGCTTCTGCCGTGTGGTGGAGTTGCTAGGCTAACGACTGGCTTCTGCTAGCCAAGACGTTCTCTGCTTATTCTGGATGCTAAAACAACAACAGCATTCCCTGTCGCGAGCCAAGATGGGCGAGTCCAAATGACTGCTTGACGTAGATCTGTCAGGCTTTTCAAATCCTGGCGTTTCATCGTCTGTTTTCTATCAGAAGCTAATGCAGGAGATAGGTGTAGGAGACTGTTTTCATGTTCTGCCTGCATAAGAAACTCTGAGTGAATTATTCTAATCAGAAATAATCATTAAAAGAGAAACCTGTAAGTTTTCAGGAAAAACGTAGCTTTGCTTTCATTTTTCATTGTTTGCCATCATACTGCGCGACTAATTTCACTTCTTTTTTTAGAAGACAAAAACCCGCTGAGATTTGATATGGAAACAAATAAATTGTGTTTGCCTGAGACACAGTAGAAAATATATACTTGAAATCTCATTTAAGTTTAAATGGGTGCAGAAACCACAACCACAGAGGAGGTTAATTTATAGCGACACCTCACACAGGACATAGCCACTGAAACACACAGAATGATGCACTCAGTGAATTGTATCACAAAGATATTTAAGTGTAATAAAAATGATACAATAAGGAGAATCATAAAATGTTAATGGAGAGACGGGGCGATTCAGGCAGGTGTTAAAATGATCACTTGAAAAAAAATGAAGAAAAGGGCTGAATGCTGAATTTGAACAAAATGTCACCACCAGGCGAGTGCTGGTTTGTTTTTTAAGTAAAATTCATGAATTGAGATATGAGAATATAGAAAAAATGTTTTAGTTTCTTTAATCAATAAAAAGAGTACATTCAGCTTTTTAAAATAATTTTCAACAGGTGTTCATTCTAAATTCTACTAAATAAATTTCTTTTTATTTTTTTTTACATTTACAACCATTTTACTTTTAAGCGAGGAAAAGGGCGGAACATTAAAGTGGATATATTATACAAAACTCACACTTTGCATCCTTTTGAGTTGCCATGTGGGTCTCTACTGCCTCTATAAATACTCCAAATGTGGAAATAAAATGTATCCATCCGTTTTCTGTCAGTGTTTGATCTTAGGAATAATGTGCATTAAACATACTCTTTCAAAAAGTCCCCGTTTGTGATGTCAATATCAGGAGAGTTAGCATAGCACCAACTCTCACGTACGAGAGAGAGAGTTGCTGCTGCTGGAGGAGCAGTGGCTTTACTCCGAGCCCTTCTGGATATCAGAGCTTCTCAGCTTATAGCAACCTGAGCTGGGATTGGTGGGCGTGGCCAGTTCTGGCTTGTTTTCTTAAAGTAACAGAGCCCTGAAACGACACATTCTGGAAGGTACTGAAAATGTCAAGAATAAAAACTGATGAAATTGCTTTATGTTTGGGGGGGTTTGTGCAAAGCATATCAACCATTGAGCTATTAAAACTTAAGAAAAAAAGTCATGAGTCCATTTTAAACAATAAATAAGAATATTATTGAACCTGTTAAAATAATCTTCCCTTTGAGAGACTACATTTGTAAATAGAAACAGGAAACTCTGCTTCATGCATTTTATGTTTAAAATCTAGATCTAAATACTAAACAGCTACCTTCAGAATATTATTTCTTGATCAAATTAAAATTAGAATTAAAAATTAAATCCTCAGTTAATGTTCTGTAAGTCTTCTCTGTTTGTTTGAGACAAACAATTTGTGTTTTTGGACCTTGCCTCAGTTTTGTCATTTGTGTTTTGCAGCCTGTGTGTGAATCTACAATCTCATGAAATAGAAACTCAATAACTGTAAAATTACCAAATTTTTAGTAATTTTGTTTTTCAAGATTAATTCATATGAATTGGGTTGATGTTAAAATCTGTCTAGTGGTTCATGAGAACCTAACAAATACACAGGCACTAATGAAAAACATCATTGCTATTCAGCAGAGAGTAATAATAAAAGCAAGATTTTTTCAAAAAGCAAAAAAATTAAATATTTTCAAATAAGAGGTCACCACTGTGACAAACATGAAGAAAACAGCTTTTATTCGACTAATTAGTAATCCTTGTTTCCTAGTTAAGTACTGTATAACTTGATCGCCGAAGGACGACACACACACACACACACACATGCGCGCGCAAGCGCATACACACATGTGCATGCACACACACGCACACACATGCACACTGTGGGGAAGTCATTACAGTACAACACACACTTTTCTGTATCCACAACTACAACAAACACCATATTCAGTTGGAGGCAGAAGTTGGTTAACTTGGTAACAATTTGAGCCACACACAAACACACACACACACACACACACACACACACACACACACACACACACACACACACACACACACACACACACACACACGCGCGGAGCGGTTCCTGGTTTCTAACAGAAGTGAAATGTTTAGTATTCAGAGAGGAGGGATGATACAAGAGGAGAGCTGGAGTCTCACACAAAGCCTTGGTGACTCTCACTGAGACTCTTTACTGTGTACGGGAAACATTTATTCATGCATAAACCCATTGCTCATCACAGCTTCACACACAGCAGGTCAGACATTGTGTGTAATTGCAAATGTACCATTCATTCACACGTGAACACATGCAGGCAGTTTCACTTACCAGACTCTAATTCGTGAGTTCTGCTGGTTCAGCTGTCCTGAAAAAGATAATAACGTTGAATTAATTCCCATCCTGATCACAAAATACTCAGTTTACTGGTTTTGCGTCAGCGTCTAATCTATACAGTTCTTCACACACATTTCTGTGCACAAACATGCATTTTCCTGGAAGGTGTTTTGGCACAGCATCCTTTCAGGGCCAGGCCAGTTTCTGCTCAGCCTTAATGTGCTGAGACACACAGCCAAAACAGATCAATAAAGACCTTGTTTAGGGCTTTTTTGGACAGGAACTATAGAAAATCATTAAAAGACTGAAAAGTCAATGTTTCTATTGATAACACTAGCCGTGAAGGTTGATTCTGTTTAGTGCCGGTTCCTTCAGCCTACACAGTCAAAATGAAAGGCTGCTCTTGCTTTACCTGCTGTGACTGCTTTCTTCTATTCATGTATCAAAGCATAATTTCTTCTAGTTGCAATAATTGTGTTTTCTCTGTACTGTCAAGGTTCCTGGAGAATAGAATATAGTTTACAGCACCTGCCAGGGTGAATGAGTCAGTGAGAATAAGAGCATGCAGCCTTAGAAGGAAGGGTGGGAATTTGAATGTCTCGATGGGGTTTTGGGTTCTGATGAGTTGCTGCTTTGCCAAAGCTTCAGCGGCTCATTCAGCTTTCTGTCTGTCCATCTTTACTCTTATCAATACGTGTGTGGGATAGCGATGAGTTTCTCCGTCTATAAAGACGAGGCTGTAAAGACGGAATTATTGATCAGGGTGAACTCAGCTGTTGTCCTGATCTGCGATCAGCAGCGTGTTCTGAATACTTAACCCTTCTATCATCCTTGGTGTCAATTCCACCACTTTCAATGTTTATTATTAACAAGATAAGAATTGAAACAGATAACTTCAGAAAATTACATTTTATTTGAATCTTCTTAAAGGTGTCGAACACTGAAACACCTTTTTTGAAATTACATTTTCTGATTATAATCGGCCACTCTGAGTTTTTCATCATGCAAGGTGAACATGAAAATAGTCTCTTACACCTATCCTGCATTAGTTTCTGATAGAAAATATACACTCAAACTCAAGGATTTAAAAAACCTGACAGGGCAGTGTTACACTGCAACTTAACATTCATGAACTCACCTATCTGATTTGCCGTAGCAACTCCACTACATGGCAGATCTCCTTCAGGTTTGTAATATAGAATAGAATAGAATAGAATAGAATGTACTTTATTGATCAAACTAGCTGAAACATACAAACATTACTGGAATAACTGGAGATGTATTAGTAACAGTTTTGTTGGATGAGCCCTTGTATTCTGTTCTGAATGACCACGACCTCCAGTTAAATGAGATCAAAACCATCCACTAAACTAAAAATATAATATATACTTGCTTAATGAAGGACTGTGAACAGCAGTCAAAACACTACTTTTTTCATTTCAGAACTAAAATTACTGATATGTGGTGAAATGAACAGGCCTTAACGGTGCACCAAAGCAAATTAAAAATGTCAAATGTTTAAATTTTCTTTTAAATTTAGCACAGAACAAAGATTTTATCTGATCTGTTTAAATTAAAATCAGTTTATTGATTTTTTTAGTGAGGCAAAAGCTCTCTCAGAAAAGCTTTGGTTCAGTTGATGTTGTTGCCACAGTTGAAGCCCTTAAAATGTCTGCTCTCTGGAAAAGCTTCACCAACTTGTTCCTCCTAAATACAATCGAAGCAATAATTAAAACACTTCCACAAGAAGCTCTCAGCTTAATGCTGCTGGGATTTTTCCCTATTCAAAAAGGTTTGTCAGAGAAGAAGAAAGTGTCTGTTCTCTGGGTAGAATCAATAAAACCACAGAAAATGGAGGATTTCTGGTTTGGAGTTTAAATCCTGTGAAATCCACTAATTGTCTCTGCTGATGTGTCTCCTGCAGCACCGAGTAGAGCTGGGTTAGGGTTAGGGTGGTGTCATGGTTTTCTGCTTCTAGTCCAGAATCCGTCAGCTTTACTTTTATGTTGATATAACCATAATTAACAAGAAGTCATTCAGGACACACACAGCTAATCTTCTACTGAACATTTTAGATAGGAACTATTAAAAAAGCAGAAATTTCCATTTCTAGTCCTGTATGTGTCTTCTGCCCTCTGATGAATCTGCAGGTGGAAAGAGCCTAATTTATTTATTTAATGCTGTCAAATTTGTAATAAAAATTAAAAAACAAACAAACAAATGCTTTCTCAGTGCTGTGCTCAAAATTGGTTTTCTGTCAACGAATAGGAAACGTATCCACCTGTAACATGTTTATAGGTTAGTGTGTGTGTGTGGGTGTGGGTGTGTGTGTGCGTGCGCCCGTGTTTGTGTGTGTGTAAAAAAGATAAAGAATTTGTGTATGTTAGGGTTAGAAACGCAGCAGTTTTGTCTTGTAAATGCAGGGTGGCTTTTAGACACAAACACAAACAAAATCACCACACTGAGATTCCAATAAATACCTTCACAAACCAAAGCTTGCTCCACACTGATCTGGGTCTTCCTATTAATTCAATCCAGTTCAGTTTATTTATATAACGCCAAATCAACACAAGTCGTCTCAAGGCACTTCAGAAAGTAAACAATCCAACTGAAACCCAGCAGATTGCATCAAGAGTCAGTGACTTTACAGCAATCCTCATACAAACAAGCATGTAGCGATAGTGAAGAGGAAAACTTCCCTTTAACAGGAAGAAACATCCAACAGAATCTGGCTCAGTATGAGCAGCTATCCATCATGACTCGCGGGGGGTTTGAGAAGACCGAGCAGACACACACACAAACAAACTCTCTACTACTCTGTAAACAAGCATAAACCCTATTTACACAATATTCTAGATGTGTAATGAAACTCAAGAGGAGCTGGGGCTGCCTGTTTTCATTCAAGCATCCAGAGGACAAAAACTGAGTAAACACACCTTAACTAACACACTGATCAAAAAGCGCTGGATTCATACAATAGACTCGCCAAATGAAATGCTAATTTTTGTTAGGTTAAGCATCTTCTTTAGGTGTTCAGCCACAATGGTGGGCACACACACACACACACACACGCACACACACACACACACACACACACACACACACACACACACACACACACACACACACACACACACACACACACACACACACACACACACACACACACACACACACGTAAGAGAAACACAAGCAATATCATCACAGACAGATGCGTACAACATAAACCACCACACAGCTCTCGAAGTTAAAGACACACTGAACACCATGAAGAGGTGCTTTAAACTCTCTGGGAATCACCCTGTCAATGAAAAATACAATTTCATTTCATTGAAATGAGCAGGAAAATGAAAAAAGGAGGTTTAAGTGTCTAAAGATCCTATTTAATTTTCTCTCAGAGATCTCGTTACCAATGACAAATGAAGTCTTGCTCCCTAAACACGCCAGCCCCAACAAGCACTGAGAAATGAACTATTTTCCAACACAGTGTCCTGGAAAGGTTTGGGGCTTTCAAAAAGCTTTACCTTCCCATCACTACTGGTTAAATACTGGATCCCACTTACATACCAAATAGATGTAGCTCTTTACTAACGTCTGCTGAAAACTGAAGCAAAAATCTCACAAACAGATTTTATAAAATCAAGATGCTGCCAAGACACAAATAACAAAAACTGCAAAGAGAACTATTTGAAATACGAAAAAATAAACCTAATTCTCTAAATAAAATTACGAATCCAAGTACCAAACCCAAACCATGACAACAGCAGTAAGGTAAGAACTCTGCGAAAACAACTGGAGAAATTACCAAATGGCGACCATATGTGAAATGACAATTTATTTCTCCACATTAAAAAAGAAGCACCAAAGCACTGGTGCTTCTTTTTTAATGTCAGCAAACTTGTACTGGATGTAGCCAAAAGAGGACGATTCAGTTCCTTTTTGGTTCATATATTTGAGGTTTTACATGTCAACGCGCCAGACTTATTTAAAATTGCAGCAAAAATCTGAAAATCTTCATAAATTCTTATTAGTGAGTCAAATTCATCCTTTAGAGGAACTCACTGGAATCCTTGAAAATCAAAAGTTTTTGCTTAGTGGTGTTCTGTTGCTAAATGTGTGAGTGCATGAAGAATGGAGGACCCAAAGAGGTGTGGCAGTTTGGTGAGACCGACAACTGCATGGTCTAATAATTTCTTTAGGTCCGAAACGTGTAATTGGTGGAGGCTTTTAGACAAATGCAAGAAAACCACATAATTAATATTTCTGTATTTTTTTATCTCTACGATAGATTTCTAGCTATACTATGTATGTTAGAACGTAGATAAGTGGCATGAAAATAAACGTTTTATGCTAATATGTTTTGCAAATTTGTCATCGCAGCTTTAACCAGGTAAAAACTCACTTAGAGTGAACTCCCAGTGAACTCATTGTCATGTTCAAGAGACCAATCTGAGATGATTCAAGCTTTATGACATGGTGCATTTTCCTGCTGGAAATAGCCATCAGAAGATGCGTACACTGTGGTCATAAAGGGATGGACATGGTCAGCACAATACTCAAGTAGGCTGTGGTGTTGCAACAATGATCAATTAGTACTAAGGGGCCCAAAGTGTGCCAAGAAAAATGTCCCCCACACCATTACACCACCACCACCAGCCTGAACCGTTGACACAAGGCAGGATGGATCCATGCTTTCATGTTGTTGATGCTGATTTCTGACCCTACCATCTGAACGTTGCAGCAGAAATCGAGACTCATCAGACCAGGCAACATTTTTCCAATCTTCCATTGACCAATCTGAGCTTGGGTGAATTGCAGCCTCATTCAGAGATGCTCTTCTTACCTCGGTGGTAACGAGTGGTTATTGGGAGTTACTGTTGCCTTTCTATCATCTCAAATCAGTCTGGCTATTCCCCTCTGACCTCTGGCATCAGTAAGACGTTTTCACACACAGAACTGCCGGTCACTGGATGTTTCCCATTTTTCGGACCATTCTCTGTAAACCCTAGAGATGGTTGTGCGTGACAATCCCAGAAGGTCAGCAGTTTCTAAAATACTCAGACCAGCCTGTTTGGCACCAACAACAATGCCACATTCAGTCACTTAAATCACCTTTCTTCTCAATTCTGAATCTCAGTTTGAACTGCAGCGGATCTTCTTGACCACGTCAATATGCCCAAATGCACTGAGTTGCCACCATGTGATTGGCTGATTAGTAAACTGAGTCAAAGAAAGTTTAAACTCGCAGATTAAATATTGTTTCTGAAAGCTTTTAAATTTAATCAACCTATTTAAAACAGTCAGAGTAGAATGTGAGCTAATGTGGGACATATTGTCTCACATCAATGAAAACATCACATTCTGCAGAACATCCAGGTCTGGATTACACGGGACAGATGTTAAAATGTGAAAAGAATGCAGGTTAAATTCAACGTGACATCTTTCTGTGGGTTCCTGTGAGTAAAAGAAACAGATTAATGGTATATGCACCAACGCTGTGGGACTCATTAGAAAATATTGCTGCTGCTGACATTCGGGAACCTGTTAGCGCTGCATTCATGGGTCCAAACTCACACTGCTGATGTAACGAGGAGACAGAGTTGGTGGGGAACTGTCTCAGGTATACCTGGAGGCAGATCCAAAACGCTGAATGTTTTCCAAACCAGGAACACAAAAATGCTCCTGAATTGATTCAAATTATTTTTCTTGTTGCTTATGAGTGATGTAAACTGACAGATGCTGACAGGTGATTCAAGATAATCTCAAGTGAAAAAGGACTGATTTTAATAAGCACGGTCTTCCATTGTCAGCATGTGAGCGGTCTTGTGGGCGGTTAGAGTGCTAGAGGCAGCAGCAGGAACAAGGCATGAACTTGATAAATGGAGGAGTTGACTCCACTGTAAGGGTGTGGAGGTGGCTGCTGAGGAGACCACTCTTTAACTAAAGTGCATTTGATAAGAGTAAAAAGTAAAATAAAAACATAATATTTAAAAAATTAACATGTCATTCACAGCCCATTCCCGCCAATCAGATAAAATAAAATAAAATTATCTCATAATTATGACTTAGCTATCTCATTATTATGAGATACTATCTCATAATAATGAGATAGTATCTCATAATTATGAGATACTATCTCATTATTATGACTTAGTATCTCATAATTATGACTTAGCTATCTCATAATAATGAGATACTATCTCATTATTATGAGATAGTATAGATACTATCTCATTATTATGAGATAGTATCTCATAATTATGAGATACTATCTCATTATTATGAGATAGTATCTCATAATAATGAGATGAATTCTGCTGGCCTCCACGGACTTCTGTTTTTGCACTTCCGTATTTTTCAACCTGCAGCAGCAGCAGTGCAGCACACAACTTCGTTCGCGCTGAGTGGTCAGAATGGCTATTTGTACGCGTTTGCTGCTAGACCTCCCAAGAATAATGGTTAACGATGTACACCGAATCTTTCTTGCCTCGTCCGAAATGCCAAAATCTAGTATGGACAAAGCTTGTATTGTATGTGCCCGGCTACATACACAGCTATGAAGGTAAGCTAACAAACTTCTGCTGTGAGTTACTAAAGATGCTACACGCTAGCTCTCCACTAGCCTAAGTTAACACAATAAGGAAACGTTATTGGAGCGATAAGTAAGGTCATGCGTGTTTTTCGTGTCTGAAATGAAAAAAAAAACAGTTTATATGTTATTCTCAGTTTTAATCATGCAGTCAGGAGAGGTCACGGTTAGGTCCGAGTGTTTCAGGTCAATGAGGAAAAACCAGAAGCCCCACCGTCTGAGTGTTGGGAAACGTTACCCTGCAGGTTCAGTGCAGGATTGATTCAGGTTCAAAAGAAGACTGTTCATGTTTTTAAACGTCACATTTTTGCGAGTCATATCATTGCTTTTAGTTTGATAACAGGTTAATGACATGCCTGAACTACGTATGTCATGTGGTGTCAGAGATAAAATGTGTCCCAGAAAGAATGTAGTAAGTAAAGTTTGTATAAATAGCATGTCACAGAAAGTCAGACATTAGATGACTCGCAGAAGCACAACATTGTTTACAGTTATTTTATTTTTGTCCACTACTTGTTCTACTCTTCTATTTTAACATGAGTTAAGTGAAGTTAATCATCAATGTTTGTCTCTCCTTAAATGCAGTTGTACTCTAACAAATATTCTGTATTGTAACAGATTGTGCTAAGGGATTCAAAGCCGGTGGGGGTGCCAGTGTACGTGTGGCAGGTGCAGCCTTGTGATGTCATGTGGCAGCTCAACTCTACCAGACGGCACATTTCTCCCAGCTGAAACTTACATCGGTCAGTGTTGAGCTGCACAGAAACTGAACAACAGTGGCACAAAACGGGGACCAAGGTTACAATCTTTTAATGATACTATTATTATGTGTATACATATTTCTGTTATAACATTTAAACTTGTTTTTATTTGGAAACAAGGTATTAAACCAGGTCCAGTTAATGACATGGTCATCATATCAGCCAGACCAAGAGAGAGGAGACCGGTAGAATGAACAAGGTATGTTTTTCTTTCAGGACTGCACACACACACACACACACACACACACACACACACACACACACACACACACACACACACACACACACACACACACCCCATTTGACTTTTGTTTTTCTTCCCCAGAAGCAGTTTGTAAAAAGGAGTCAGCTTCCCCGATGACAGACAGCTTCATTCTGAAGGTGCAGGAGGCGTACCACGGACTTGGTGCAGATGAGGCTCCGGTGATGACAACCATGGCTGTCTCTGGTGATGTACCTCTGGTAGGGTCCACGTTTGGTTCGGTGCAGGAGGGAAGCAGGCCATCTTACCAACTACCAGTGAGGACGGCCCCCAGGACGCGTCCACACAAAGACAACCCTTCTCTCCCACAACAGTCTCTCTCTCATTATAGACTGGGACCCTCTGCATGTGCATTTGTGTTTACTGAACATCATCATTTCACATCCCTCACAACATCATTGGGGAAATCATACAAAGCTGAGAACAGAACACAATCGCAGAGTTTCTGTGTGGAGGGGCACCAACTAAGGAGATGCCACATCACTTCTACAAAATTTAGATAAGTGTCACACCAGGGCAGAAGGTTCTGCTGAGAACCTTGTGAAACAGCCTATGGGAACAAGTAGTCAGACTGATGACAAATGTTGGGGTCTTGCTTTGGAGCCTACAGCCATCAAGGAGTACTGCAAGGTAATAGAGGTAAACCACTACCCTTGTGGGGTCCTGATCCACCCTGAGGCACCATGGATGGGTTCAACACCAGATGGGATTATGTATGATCCTGAGGGCAGCTTGAGTGTGGCCTACTGGAAATAAAATGCCTAAATGTGTGTAGCTTTGTGGACTATTATGCTCAGAAAAGGTTTACTCTCTGTGGCGATCTCATCCTCATTACTGGCAGGTCAGTGTTGACTGTTGATTTCTCCATGTGAGTGGTGTGACTTTGTTGTTTACACCACAGATGACATGTTTATTCAGCGAGTTCCCCGTGACATGGAAGTCATACAGACACTATTGTAATGTTTTCATTGCTGTTTAAACGTAAAGACTTACTGTGGGGGAAATTCAATGTAAATCTGCAGTAAAATTAAATATTTCTGCACTTTCTTGTTTGTGATGTTTTGTTTGCTAGCTGAGTAATCATTTTTAAATGGCTTCAGTTTAGTTTCAAAAGATAAGATTTAAATTAAACGAATTAAAGAAGACTAAACAAAAACCGATGACTTATTTACCACAAAAGTGTTTGAAACCATAAACTTTCAATTTCTTTTTTATTACAAAACCATTTTAAACACATACAAATACACATTTAAGCATGACATAGGGGTTTTTGAAAAAATTTAAGAACTCTATCAATTTTATCAACTCTATCAATCATCAGGACCTAACCTGACTGCATGATTAAAACTGAGAATAACATATAAACTGGTTTTATTTTTCATTTCAGACACGAAAAACACGCATGACCTTACTTATCGCTCCAATAACGTTTCCTTATTGTGTTAACTTAGGCTAGTGGAGAGCTAGCGTGTAGCATCTTTAGTAACTCACAGCAGAAGTTTGTTAGCTTACCTTCATAGCTGTGTATGTAGCCGGGCACATACAATACAAGCTTTGTCCATACTAGATTTTGGCATTTCGGACGAGGCAAGAAAGATTCGGTGTACATTGTTAACCATTATTCTTGGGAGGCCTAGCAGCAAACGCGTACAAATAGCCATTCTGACCACTCAGCGCGAACGAAGTTGTGTGCTGCACTGCTGCTGCTGCAGGTTGAAAAATACGGAAGTGCAAAAACGGAAGTCCGTGGAGGCCAGCAGAATTTATCTCATAATTATGAGATACTAAGTCATAATAATGAGACAGCTAAGTCATAATTGTGAGATACTAAGTCATAATTATGAGATACTATCTCATTATTATAAGATAGCTAAGTCATAATTATGAGATAGTGGCTTCCTCCCACAGTCCAAAAACATGACTGTTAGGCTAACTGGTCTGTCTAAATTGTCCTTAGGTGTGAGTGTGTGTGTGTGTGATTGTTTTTCCTGTGTGTCTCTGTGTTGCCCTGCAATGGACTGGCTCTCTGTCCAGGGTGTACCCTGCCTGATTGCCCATTGACCGCTGGAGATAGGCACCACATGACATCACATGACCTAAGAAAAAAACCTAAAAACAAGAAAAGCAATCACATAAAAATATTCTAAAGGGAAGGAGAACTACAAAGACCGGTGGGACAAAACATACTAAAGAGACTATTAAAATGAAAAGCTGAAACTATAAACACTGCAGAGGGATGACTGGCTGCAGAGCGGTGACTGGAGAAGACTAAAGGAACACAGGACCTGAGAGATATATCTGGAAGGCTGAAGACCAGGGGACAAATGAGGAACACGAAGAGACACAGACACGGACCATGACACCTACGTGGACAAAGCGAGTTCAGACAATGGATGGATGGATGGAGTTTTAATGCTTAGAACAAGAACTATGTGAAAAGTTATAGCTGAATGCTGTGGCACAAACCACTGGAGGTCTGTTTATCATATTGTGCCAATGTGTTTAGCTATCGTCCTACCGTATTTTCTATTTTAATTTAAAAAATCAAATCAAATAAAAATCTATTCTTTGTAAGAGGAGGTAAATCATTTAAAATGCAAGAGCACACTTGTAAAGCAGATTATGTCAAAAGTATTTTATCAATTAGCGGTTCTGTAATAATTTGAAGCCAAAATTTAAATTTAAAAATAATGTTTGTTAAATCCAAAGCTCCATCGCCTATTAGTTTTCACAATCCAGTCCCTTCCTGTGCACGATGTATTTCAGTGCACCGCAGATATGTTAGGTTATTATTTATTTATGAGAAACTTTGTTCAGAACATTTATCTTCATTGCATTTTGCATAAAAAAGTAGCATCAAGGATGAATTCTCCGGCCCACATCCAGATAAAGTGGAACTCTTTTCTCCTCAGGTTGCAGACAGCAGACTCTGAACAAAGTGAACCTCTAAGTGTTTAAAATCTACAACCATTAACTCTAAGTCACATCTCTGTGCATTCTCCTGCATTAAAAGGACCCCAAATGCAACCATAATTAGACAGATGTGAGAAACTGATGGGATCATTACTTTTCTTCTCTCCGATAGCAAGCGTGCATCTGGAAATGTCAGATCTATTATGTGATAATAAATAGTGCACTTCACCAAGTAATGGATGCTTCTGCGTGGTGGCTCGAGGGTTCTCACACATCATTACAATCAGAAGTTTGATCATTATCAACTTTATATAAATATGTTCCTGGTACCTGTTAGTTACTGCCAACAAATATGCTTATTGTCATTTTTAAGCTAGTAGGTCTGCTAGTTTATTATTTTCCTAAAGCACTAGCCCATCTGTTTGCATCCTGGCACCACTGTATTAACAATAAACTACTGATCTTAACCTATAATGCATCTATTCTCATTGCTGGTGAACTTTCTACTTGATGAGCCATCCATTTGGTTAAAGGCCAGATTTGAAGTCTCCATTTGCTTAAGTATTATAAATCACAGCTTGTAGGTCTGATTTATATCATTAGACCAAAGCTGGCTGCAGCAAATAGCAAAAATCATTTAACCCAGAGGCAAAAGAAGGAAAAAACTGGCAATGATTTGGCCTTCTACTGAACATCCACCCACTGGGATAGAGGTTTCAACACACATTAAAACAAAACCTCCTAAAATTACAAAGTTTATCCTTTTCAAACTTGCTTTTATTTAAAGCTGCAATAACAAATTTGGAAAATAGGATGCAAAAAGCACTAAGAAAATTACCAAAACAGGAAGATTTGATCACGTGAGAACTACATTTAACACCTTATTCAACAGCATCTTAGGCGTTTTTCCATTGTTGGAACTTCTGGGTAAATTCTGGGAGGGGGGAATTAATCAAGAGATTAATCCAAATCGGTACTCTTAGCTGTTGTGTCTCCATATATATTCAGCCCTTTCAGGACTTTTCACAGATGTCAGCATATCACGTCGCCTGTGCAGTGAGTGGTGTCACTGATCAGCGCCAAAAGGCATCCACAGTAAAAATTATAATGTTAAAAGTATTTTTTCTGTCCAAGTATAGCATAGTTTAGTCCATTCAGAGAAAGCAGCTGTGTGATGTGCAATAGGGCTGCAACAACAAATCGATAAATTCGATGAAAATCGATTACTAAAAGCGTTGGCAACGAATTGCGTCATCGATTCGTTGTGTCGCACAACTCTTCCAGACCAGCGCAAGTCAGATCAGCGCGAGGGAGAGCCGCAGATCAGCGCGAGGGAGAGCCGCAGATCAGAGCGAGGGAGAGCCGCAGATCAGAGCGAGGGAGAGCCGGCAGATCAGCGCGAGGGAGAGCCGGTACCGGCAGATCAGCGCGAGGGAGAGCCAGTACCGGCAGATCAGCGCGAGGGAGAGCCGGCAGACTTGCGCTGCTGCGAACCGGTTCCGCCCAAGGTCGGATTAACTGGGCAATTGCCCAGGGCCCACGAACTCTAAAGGGCCCAGGGCACGAGCAAAATACTGTATCTATAATTTCCCGCTTTATGAGGACTATGGTGACCGTATGTTCCGTTTTCCCCGGACATGTCCACTTTTCACTCTCTGTCCGGGCGTCCGGACTGCGGGTTCTTGTATTGATGAAAATGTCTGGCTTTTCATCCAGGAGCAGGGATCGAATTATGGGGGAGCTGTATATCCTACACATAGGGGGAGCCGCAAAAAAGTTTTCTATATTATATCATTTATATCATTTTTGGACTCTTTTGAGCAGAGAGCGGCACAGCGCATTGTTGCGCAGCGATCCAGGCAGCTGCTTCCAGCGCACGGTCCATTCTCAAAGTGGCGCAACCAAAAAACTATAATTAGCACACGATCGTTCTTGTCTGCACATGTTCTCTATTTTCTGTCTTATTTGTGCCTGAAGCGCGCTACTGTGGAGCTCATCACCTGTGCTGTGGTGATGTCACCTCACGCAGCATCGAAAACGCGCTCTGCGCTTTGCGGTCAGAGATCCCTTTGATCTGCTCAAAAGTAACTGATGAGGTGAAAAGGTAAGAACCCAGGTAGCAGTTTTTCTGGAGAGTTAAGAGGAGATGCAGGAAGATGAGAGACAGACAGGACAGGAAAATAGTTAAATAAAAACAAGAAAACAAAACAAAGTGTTGAAAAGTAAAATGTAGGTAGATTTATCTCCATTACACGTTTTTACCAGTAAAAAACATATTTATACATCTGATACAATTCAGATCACCTTCAAAACTCAGTCACACACCCAGGGCCGTTTCAAGACATTTTGGGGGCCAAGGCAAAATGCCCCCCCCCCCCCCCCCCCCATAACTGGGCTCCCCAGAAGCCTCTGTGTAATTCATACCCTCTCCAGTAGTGTTAGTTATACAGTGTTTATAAAAGCCGCTCAGACATTACTGACATGTTCCAATATTATCAGATGAAAAACTAAATGATCAGACATGCTGTCTCATCTGCTGCTTTTCTAAACTTGCAAAAAGTAACAAAACCGTTTGAAAGCCACTATTTGTGGATTATCCGAAAGTTTCCATGGAGTGTGGGACAACTTATTTTTTCATTGACCCTATCGTCTAATCTCACAGCTGAAACAAGCATCCTTAATAATCTGTGCACAGGAAGCTTACCGATGCTGTAGTAAAACAAAAGGTATAATAATTTATTATTAATAAAACCTTGTTGCAGCACTAAAGCAGAAAAATGAGATTTTGCATTAAATATGCAAAATATTTACATATGAATTGTTTTAGAGCCCTTTTATTGGCAGAATCTGATATTAATTTAGTTCTTACAAAAAATGGGTTCCAACATGGTTTGTGTGGCGTTGCCATAGTGTGACGTCATAGGCACAGATCCCCTGTCCTCTTGTTTGGAAATGGAAATATGGTCACCCTGTATTAAACAAACTGTCCACCCGGGCTTTTGTGCTGCACAGAGACGCTTCGCTGCCTATGACTGAACGTTAGTTGAGAGTCAGTCTCATGCAGACTGACCAATGAAGAGAGGGCCTCAAGTTAAGACCCTCTCCTCATTGGCCAGTCCACACGAGGTGGG